ATTATCTTTGCTGAAATGTTTTCTGCTGTTTATATAAATGTTTACATTGGTAGGCATGTGAGCGAAGTATTGTATTCTCTGTCTTTATTTTAAAATTCTAGCAACTTGCTACCCAAAATATATAGTTCTGTCCAAAAATACCTTCCTGAAGAAGCCTCTTAGTCTTTTATGGTGTTTTATTTGGCATAAGACATTAGGCTTATAGATAAAATAATAGGTTCATGTGCCGGTTGGCATTTTACTACAGTGACACTCTTATCATGAAAATGGAAGTATAGAATTAAATAATAATGACTAAATTCTCTCCGACTCCTTTTAGACACTTTATTATTTGATATATTTCATGTCTTACCAGCCTTATTGGTATAGGCATGGTATTCAACTGGTAGTCACAGTTCACTTGAATGCAAGCTTTCTTTTGAGGCAGGCATTCTGTATATGTAAAGAGGTTTTTGTTTGAGCAGAACCAGCTCTTGAGTACTTGGGATTTTAAAAGCCCACGAAGTCAGCTGTGGGGCCTGCTTCTAAGTAGTATATCAGCATCTTAAGAATCACAAGCTAGAAAGCCAAGCCTCCAAAGATGTAACTTGGCTGTGTGTGAGCTCTTTTCTCTATGCTGCTTTGCATTGCTTTATAAAACCATCAGCTAATGTCCTTTAGTGACATAACATCGTGCTTGTTTAAGATAGGAGCTGAGGGGGAGGGGATGGTAGTTGAAATGAACTCTAGGGTAAGAACCTACACTTTGTTTAGTAAAATGCTCCATTTTTGTGCTTTGTAGATAATGGAGTCTAAGTTCTTAGAGCAGGCAAGAATTCTGAGTGGCTAGCCTAATGTGGACCATAAAAACACTCTTCTTAGATTTGAGTCGAGAGCTACCAGTTCTCATTTTGGCACTCAGTTTTATGTAAAAATTGGAATCTGCTGGCATTTTCTTATACCTTCTGCTTCTGGTATGAAAAACTGAAGTTAATGTTTAAAAAAGATATGTAGAGATGAATATGTGTATGGGGGTAGAGAGGCTGTCTTAACTTTTATTGTTTAGGTGTTACAACCATCAGAAAACCTTAATAAAATCTCATTGGAGTCGGGCCTTTAACACAGAGTAAGTATAACATCTTCGTACACACTGCTTAGTGAAGCATATGTTCTGCTCTTAGGCCAGCTCTCTGGAGCTGAAGGTGGCTACATTTCCCTCACTAGGTAAAGATTCTTTGATATGTTACCAATTATAGATACTTGATATGAGATTATAAGTTATATATCAACTTATGCTTTTCCTCAGGCAGGAATCCAAGGAGAAATGTGAAGAACACGTATAAACAAATGTATTCTTTGCAAAATCCCCACAGTATCAATGGTCTCACCTTTTTAGTGCCTTACGGCTTAGCTGGTGTATGTGTTAACATGTAAGTACATACTATGAAACCACATGACTGGTGAGGGATTTACTTTTGATTATTTTTCTCGACACCGTTCTCTTCCAAATATGGGATCAGCTTATAGGAGTTCATGATTTTGAAGCTCAAGCCTTTAAAAAGAAATTCTAACTTTGCATTAACCTCATTTTGTTGTGGAGGGAAAAGTACAAAATGAAAAAGTTTTAACCCCTTTGGAGAATTGTAACTCAGAGTTACACTCTCAGACAGAATCATTACACTCTCAGACAGTATTAGCATTATTGTAAAAGCTAGTTTCATAATTTAAAAAATCCTAATTATTTTAATATATGGAAATACCTGATAGTCCATGTTTTGAATAATAGTCCTCATTTACAGTTTTGACTATTGTGGAATAAAGAAAATATGAGGATTCAGTATGAGAAATGTGCTCTTTGTCCACGGAAAGCATATCATTTGAATTTGGCACTTCATAGTAGATGGATTTTTAGCAGCCTATCAACTCCAGGCACTTCTAGCAACCTTGGCTGGTAAGGTGTGTTTGGCCTTTATTCCTAAGTTCCTAGCAGGCTTTCAGGTATCTGAGTCAAGCTAGTACAAGGATCCTTGAAGGCAGTATTTCCTCTGCCTTTGCCAAAGAGAGTCTTTGGGAGCTGAGACTCCCAGAACTAAACTGTGGACTTTTGAAAAAGAGTCCTCCATCCCGCAAGCCAGTCTAAGGCCCAAGTTTCAGATTTGAGAAGCCCGGAGGAGAGAGCAGAGGAGTGAGTGCCTGGGAGCTTCAAAGAGAGCACAAGTTCCTCTGTAACTTTTTATTGGTCTGGTGTTGCTATTATAAGTGTGTCTGGGGTGGTAATGATTCTGTGAAACATATCCAAGTCTGAAACCCACTGATAATCTTCAGTTTCTTTTGCTCTTGGATCTTGACTTCCTGTGATACAAAGCAACGGTCTCCAAAGTGGGGCATGTGTATAGTAAGCCACTGGAAAGCAAGATGGATATATTGGGGCTTTTATTTATTTTAAATTTTCATCCTTTAAATTTTTTTGGCTATATTTATAATATGGTGTTACATGGTATATTGTGTATATATATATATATTATTACAGAATAGGTACAACTTCATATACATAATTCAAAATAAATTCACATATATTGGACAACTTTAGGCAAGTTGCTTACTTTAAAACATCTGTTTTTTCATATATAAAATGGAGATATGATAATACCTTCCAGGGTTGTTGTGAAGATGAGGCAAAATAATACATACAAAGCCTTAAAGCATACAAAGACAGTGCCTGGCATATGGTGAGCATTCAATAAATACTGGTACTGTTACCATTGATGAATGAATGGGAATGAGTTTCTTAAGCTATCTTTCCATATTGCTTTGCCTTTCAATATTGGTGTAAATTGTATACCTAGCAAGGACAACCAGTGGCTGATAAACCAAAATCTAGAAATCGAGATTCTTTTTTTTTTAATGTATATCTTTCAGTTCAAATGAAAGTATTTAAGAACTCTTCTTGTCTCAATTGAAAGGTCTTTAGAGGCAGCCAGCTCCCAGTTCTAGATAGATTCCTTTTATGGCCAGTCACATTATACAATCACCATTTATCATTCAAAAATGATTTGGCCTTCACTGGGCCAGACTAAAGCTGTTGGAGAAGGAATGAAAAATTTTTGTGTCCAAATTGTATTACAGGGGTGTACACCCTTGAAGAAGAAATGGGAGATAAGTCATGTAAGTGTGACATTTAAAAGTGTGCTCGTGTTATAACAAGTGATGATAAATGGTTATACTCTTGAAAAAGCCTCTACATTCAGCACTAGTTGTACCTGTATTGTGCATACTGTAGCACCTCATTAAGACCAACTTGAAATAATTATCAGGAAACACCAGATCTTTGCATTTAACGCTGTGTTCTGATTACACGAGTTTTGTCCACTTCACTAAAGGTAAACTTCCGAGATGAGGGACCACATCTGACCTGTATCCCCAGTGCCTTCCATTCAATAAATATCTGTTGAATTTACTTATTGCTTGTCCACAAACCTAGGATTGAAGTGCATATTTCTACCTATTAGCTCATTTCATTTCACAGCCCTGCAAGGACAATCTTCATTTCACACATACAAAAACTTGGAAAGAGCCGTGACATGCCCAAGGTACATAGGATGCAAAAAGGCATTCAAAACCAGGAACATATGAATACTTCTATTGCTCTGACTACTACATGCTGCAAATTAATTTGACCTCGTTAGTACAAAAGTTTGTTTCTTAAGTGGTTTTATGTACAAATGCCATTTCAGGTAAAAGTTTAGTTACGGATCTGGAATAGTCAGGATATGGAAGTACTACAATGCATTGTCAAATTCCACTTCAAAAATAAAAACTTAGAGAAAAATTTTAAAGTTTTATTAAAGGATACTTAATATGCTCTCATGTGTACATTTTTTAGCTGTTTTATATATTGGTATTTTATAGATAATACTATTGTTTGTATGGTATTGTTTTCTAGCGTTTTATAGGAGTAATTGGTTAGAATATTTAGAATCATGTTAGGAAACCCAGCCTGCCAGAAAATAAATGGGCTTGCCTGTTTTATGTCCTGAATTTGGTTTCCCTCTTGGCTTGGGTGTTCATCCAGTAAAACTGTTGCTCCTCCTCTCCTTCTGGCAGCAGTACCTGGCCAAGAACTGTGCTAGTTGTAGCACTCAGTGCTAAGGATTATCTTCTCAAACGTTCTTCATTGCATGGACAAAAACGACAGGTACCCATTTCTAGCCTCTTCGCACCTCCTACAAGTGTCTTCATCTCAGGAGATTTCCTAACTCTCCTGACATCTTCAACTTCATGGAAGGAAGAACTGGGGAAACTAATGTCTTCTGCTAAGTGGCTTCTATGGAGTGACTGATATGCCAAAAATCTCACGATAACTACAAAAAAAGGTTGGAGTTTGTAACCAAACTACTTCTCCTATCCTTCCTGTGATGGTGGAATGACGAATATGACAATTCTAAAGTCATGGATGTAAACACCTTTTAAGTTACAGATGTCCCACAAAATGAGGCTTTTCATTACATGATCGAGGCCTGAGGGTCCAAACACCTATTATTTGAATTCTCTCTATTTCGTTTGCAGTCGGTCCAACCTTACCCGTCCATAAGCAACTAAAGGGTAGAGGCTGAGTCCTGTTAACATTCTTTGGGCAGCACCAACCACAATAAGACTAAATCTTTATGCCAACAGCGATTAAAAGCATAGTTTCCTGGAACAACAAAGCTGCTGGGTTTAAATCCTAACCACTATTTATTAATCCTGTAACTTGAGAAATGGGCTCAGTAGTAGTTCTAGCATCACAGAATTGGGGTGAAAATCAACCCGCATAAGCAAGTTATTTCCCTTTTGCTGGGTCCCTCTAGCCCAGCTCCGTGCAAGAAGCTCGGGTTTAAGCCCCCCTCCTATTGGTCCCCACGACGGTCCCCACGAAGCGCAAGCGCAGCCTGGCTTTCTAGGCTACTTTCCTCGAGCTTGCGTGCTTCTCCTCGGCGGGAGATTGGATCTCGCGATGTGCGTGTGCGTGCGCATGCGTAGTCCTCGCGAGTTCGCGCACGTCCCTCCCCTAGCAGCACAGGGCTGTGGCGGCCTCTTCCTCTTGCGTCCGGGGCAGGACCCGGAGCAGTGGTCGCGGCCGGAGCCGGGAGCCAGCGGCCGGAGCCGAGAGCCATCGTCCACCTCGCTGCTGCCGCCGCTCTATCTGTCTGCCTCTGTCTTGGGCTCTTCCTCGCGCAGTGCAGAGGCGGCGGGCTGGGAAGGAAGCGGCGCCAGCGTGAGGTTCCCAGCCGATGGGCAGCCCCTGGGCGCGCTGAGGGGCCGGGCTACTAGCCGCTGAGGTATGTGGGCGTGCGGGGGGTTGTCAGCTTGGATGGGAGCAGAGTCCCAGCGCGGGCGCTCGTGGAGAAGGCAACGAGCCGTCAAGAAAGGGGGCCTGCCAGCTGGTGAGAAAAGGTCTCCGACCCGTCCGGGAGAGGAGCTCTGGCCTAGCCCTGAGCAAGAGGAGGGGCCCCGGACCTAGCCTGCGCTTGGTGCCATTATTGGGGGGAAATTCCTCTTGCGGAGGGAGTGTGTGTGTGTGTGTGGGGGGTCACCCTTTCTTTTCATAGAGAGGTCAAAATCAGCAGTCCTCCCTCCACACTTTATATTAAAGCCTGCCGTTTTCGATATGGACGTCTAGATGGAGCGGCCTGTGGACTTCTACAGCTTGCCGAACTCCACAGCGGGTTAGGAATCTTGATTATTGGAGGGTACACAGCCGTTTCTCTAGTGTGGGCGTGTATCATCTGCAAAGTTGTTATTGCCGATACATTAATAATCTCTTTCGGGCATAACAGGTAATAAATACATTTCTAGACGCCTCGTGTCAACTAAGGATTCTTGCACTGGCGAAACTGCGCTGTGGGGCACAATTAAGGAGTAGAGGGAAGACAAAGAAGGCCGTTATTTATGTTCTAGTATCAAAACTTTCCATGGTGGAGCAGGATGCGTGGCTACGGGCATTTGTTTCAGTCTTTGCTGAATGGACTTTCTGGGTGATTGAGGTGGGCCACAAATGGACTTTCATTTAGAATAGTAAAATTGTCTATGGGTCTATGTAATTGTTAGAGCCAAATGACCTGAAATAAATCTCTGAGAATTATGTGATGTTTGATCTTTGGAAGAGAGCAAGACTTAGAATTCTTGAAATGAAAATTTTCTCCGTGTTTAGAAGACTTCATGAATGTTTTGTGAAGTTACTAAAAATAGTTATAGTTCTTTATGTTGGCAGTGATTGCCACATTCAAGAGAAGGGAAAGGGCTTATTTCATAAATAACTGCTCACCAAAAGACTCGAGGGGTTAAACACACAGTAAAACAGTTTTAGGGATGGCAGGCTCTAGCACATGCTTTAAAAATTCTAATTTAGTCATAGTTAAAATATATAGAAGCTCGTAGCTGGCGCCCTTACATCCAGTGAATCATTTTAGAAGGTAATTAATCTCTGGTAGTCTACACAGTCTGTTCTGTAATTCTTGGCTTTCATTAGTGCAAACTTTCTGGAAATGTAGTATTCATTCTGACTCGTAAGAAATGTGCCCTGCATACCCCTCAGTGAACTCTAGTATGGGAAGAGTCTTTGAAGAAAGAACAGTTAGTTGGCAAGCCCAGAAGTGGGAGTAGGGAAGCATTAAATATAGAATTAATGCTTGTATATGTAAATAATGCATATAAATATATATAAATTCATGCACACAAGGATCTAATGGTGCTGACTGCTGTCTTAACAGGTTGAAATCTGAAAGTAAATAAGGATTGGTTTTAGCTTTGTTTGCTTTTCTAGTTAACTGTTGACATGGGTAATTGTCAATAAATTTCTTACCTAGGTTGTTACTCATTTATCGAATAAGCCAGAATACTGTTCGATTTCTTGGCAGCAGTGGGGAAATCACAAAACATATAGAAGACTTGCCATTTAGACATATTCTTTAAGTGTGTCATTGTCTTTCCATTGGAATAAACAGCCTTACTCCTATTTTGTGTTTTAGTGCTTAGAATAGTGTTTTGCATGGAGTTGGACCTCAATAAATGTGAGCTTCATCAGAATTAAATTAATATGATACAAACCTAATTCATAAATTCCTGGAAAAGATTAAAGGAATAGGAGATGGGTGCATTTTTTTTAAAAAAAAATTGCAGGTCTACTTTTTAATGGTGTGTTTGGTTCCCCCCCACCTCCAGTTTGTTTGTATCTGAATAAAGGATATATGGCAGCATCTTGCCTCTAAAAGGCTAACATAATATAAGCAGATTCCATATATACTGAGTGCTAATAGATGATGGTTAGTGTTCTGATATATTAAGAGAAGATGAAGTTAAAGAAAGTAAGGTCCAGAGGAAAGGTTTTGGCAAGTTAGTGATAGGAACTTAAAAGGCATGAACTATAAAGCAGTGAAACAGATTGTAGAAAGAAAATTTTCTCCCTTTACTGGCTGTGCCACCTGCGGAAGAGAACTTGGACCTTTCTACTATTTTTTACTAGAGCTTTCCAGCAGGGTGATTTCTGACTAATAAAATTGAAAAAGGAGTCACCTTTTCTTTTATAATCTTCTGTTCAAAGGTCTGACTGTGTTTTGTTTTGTTTGTATTTGCAATTGGTCTCTGGTCCAGCTTTCTTGGAAATAAACTAGTGTTTTGATTTCTATCTAATTTGTGTGTATATTTCTCAATCAGTTTATAACTTGAAGGGGAGAGGAATGTGGTTGGTCACTTCACAGATCCCAACATGGGCTTTTCTTCACTTTGGAAAACAAAGCTATTTGTAAATGTTATCAACAGAAAGGTTTTTGTGGATGTGTGAAGAGGTAGTAGCTAAAGAGGTGAATAAAAACTTGGGACTATTTTAAATTGGGTCCCATGTTTTCATTTTAGCATAGCTGAGTGATTCTCATTGTAAGGGATGGATTTTGCCCTTTAAGGACTATTTGGCAATATCTGGAGAAATGTTTGGTCGTCACAAATTGAGGGAGGGTTAGCTACTGACACCTATGGGTAGAGGCCAGGGATGCTGCTAAGTATTTTACAATGCACAGGACAACCCTCCACAACCAAGAATTCTATGACCCAAATAATACTGCTACTATTGAGAAACCCTGGTATACTATTCTGATATTGTTGGTTCTGAAGTTAGATTATCTGAATTCATATTTGGCTTTACCGTTTCCTAAGTGTGACCTTGGCGAGTTGCTTAAAGTCTGTGCCTCAGTTTCTGTAAAACAGAGTTAAAAATAGTATGTTCCTTAAAGAGTTGTGGTGATGTTTAAGTCAGATAATGTACAACTACCTGACACATAGAAAGTACTCAAAAACTGTTCACTTTCAACTAATATTACATTTGGAACACATCTTGATGATCTCTCCTGATTTCTCATCTGAAATTAGAATTTGAGTTAGTGATAATAAACTAGTTCTTGTTATATCTTTGGAGAATTAGTGAAGAATTACTCTTTTTAATATTTTTGTTTAGCTTAGTCTTGATTTATGTTCTTTATCAAGCTTCTGCTATAAACAAGTAGCTTCTCATTGTAGGTGTTTTTCCTTCATAGTTAATTAAGACTTTAAGCTATGGCCAACAGCTCTATATCTGTTGATTGTCAGCAAATACTTAGTAATTTAACAGAATTCAGTTATATGACTTGATTCTCATTTCCTTTTGCCTTTATAAACTGAAATAAATTTACAGTGGTTTTGTCTCACATTAATTATCTGTTTTTAGCCTCTGGCAGTAACTATTTTCATGAGATTTTGGTGCAGTTTTGCATGTACGAAGGATATAGGGAAACATCTAACAACTTGGGGCTGGCTAGGCCTTAATATACATTTGTGACTCTTTCTCTAAATCTGAATTGGTACCCTTATCTTTTTTAAATATAATATTCTATTATATGTAAATGCTCATTTACCATGTTTCTTAACCATATGACTAGGGCTGGCTTGTTATGGCGGTGTTTGTAATACGTCCTTTATAAAGAGAAAAAAAGATCACAGGGATGTCCTCACAGACAAAACAGACTTTGGATTGTTTGTTAATAAGTCACAGAGCTCTTGTAAGGGGAAAAGTTCCACACCATATTTATGGTCAAGGGAGAAAACAGTGTTGTACATTCAACTTTTTGTCTTGATAACCATATCTTCAAAATAGAGAGTATTTTATTATTGTTATTACCCATATATTTGTATTGTAAATCTCAATTGTTTGTATAAATGTTCATTCATTTTTAACCTTTGGTTACTCTTGGTACTGTCTCCTGTTTGGATAGAGTAGTTTGAAGGAAGTCAGTACCTTAGGCCAAGAGATTATGTTCTTTGTTTGGCATATTCCATCTTTTGTAAAGTGTAACATACACTCAGGATTCTGTATAAATAATCAATTATGATAATCACGAGGAAGTGTTCATCTTGCGAAAACTGACCAGATCAGAAGTATACATGTGAGAAATGTAATAAAAGCTCAAAGGGAGACATTCTAAGGATGTTCAGCAAACTGAAATAAAACAATCATATTAATAAGAGTTTTTGTCTTTTTTGTGTTCCTTTTGGGGTTTAGTAATCTAGAAGAAAAGAGCCTATAAAATACAACAGATTTTCTGTCTATACACATTTCCAGTTCCTAAGGAGAGAACATTATGGCTACTAAATTAGTAGTGTAGTTGAGTTTGTATGGCATTTGTCCCTTCTTGTATTTAAATTGAGAAAAATAAGTATCTTTGTATTTGCCGATGTGTGTTTATTTCTAAGCGGTCTGGAGTCCTGCCTGTTAGCTTAATTTTAGGTAGCATAGTTGTTGGAAGACAGACTATTTTCCCACTGACTGCTGTCATACAGATACGTATTTGTTTATGTATATTTATGCATATTTGTCTTTTATTTTTGGTAGAAAATGATGCATCCTGTTGCCAGCAGTAATCCTGCTTTCTGTGGGCCTGGCAAGCCTTCCTGCCTAAGTGAAGATGCCATGAGAGCTGCTGATCAGTTTGACATATATTCCTCCCAGCAAAGCAAGTACAGCCACACAGTCAGCCACAAACCAATGGCTTGTCAGAGGCAAGACCCATTAAATGAAACGCATTTGCAGACTACAAGTGGCAGAAGCATAGAGATAAAAGATGAACTAAAGAAAAAGAAAAATCTCAATCGATCTGGTAAGCGTGGCCGGCCTTCGGGAACCACCAAATCAGCAGGATACCGGACCAGCACAGGCAGACCCCTGGGAACCACCAAAGCAGCTGGATTTAAGACAAGTCCAGGCAGACCTTTGGGTACAACCAAAGCTGCGGGATACAAAGTCAGCCCAGGGAGACCTCCAGGTAGCATTAAAGCTCTATCCCGTCTTGCTGACCTTGGTTATGGCTGTGGCACTGCTGCTTTTCCTTACCCTATGATGCACGGCAGAGCAGTTCATGGGGTAGAGGAAACCAGCAGTGAAGTCAAGCCACCCAATGAGTGAATGAGGCAGGAAAGGAAGGCCAGGTTTAGAAGGAAGATTGTGAATAATCCCAAAGCTTCTTGGTTTTATTTTGCCATACACGATTTTATGGCCTGCGCTTTCCAAATTTGTTTTCTCATTTGTTTTTCCCCCCCTTGCTTTTGCTCAGAAACTGCCATATGCTGACAGATGCACTCAGGGCATGAGCAGTGGCATTGAATTTGTACATAGATTTAAGTGTAACACCTAACTGAATCATTTTTGCTTTTCCTTTAGAGTTATGGTTGTGTCTTGTATTTTGTTACTACTTTTGGGCCATTCTAAATAGATGATTTATGTGCTAAATAATAAACCTTTATACCTGTTAGTTTGTGAAGTAAGCCTACAATATAATAAAGATAATATCTAAGGTATTTTTAACTGAAAGAACAAAGCAAACTAATGATTCAGGATTTTTTGAGGTATGGCTGTGAGTTTTTGTAACATTTATTTTCACGAGACAGGACATAAATATTTGTATGCTTTGGCATTTACATAGACTTCAGATATTAAAAATCTTATTTTTAATGTTCTAGGTTTAAGCAACTTCTTATTTATTGATCTAAATGACATTACTTGATTTAACCATTGTTCCTACAGGAATTCTTTAGTGTTTGCCTTTCACCAATGATAGGTTGTGTATTTTTTAATTGCCTATATACCAAGAGCATATATACCAAACACTACAAACAATTCATATTTACAAGAAAATTAAACTTTTTAATAAAAACTGCACATTACATTTTTGGTGAAATATAATGCATTCTGAGAATAGCATATTTAATATATTAGAAAAAGAAACATTCTTAAGGTCTGCATGTAGCTATATCCACTACATTTTGCCTTTCATATAGTTTTAAAGCATTATGCTTAAAAGATTATCGTTGTTCATTTATTAAGAATGTTTTTTATTTTTTTCCTGAGAAATTGTCCCATTGTATTAGCACTTACTATGGTTTCAGGTTTATATCTACCAAAGGACACGAATTGAATGGTAGACTGTAAAACTGATATAAACAAAATGCAGTTTTCTGAGTGTCAGAACACAAATTAAGAAATATACAGGAATCCATCTATGCATGAAATGTACAAAATATGTTGGTTAGTTTAATTAAAAATCTAATTGTGGCTCCAGTGAGACCACTTCATCCAAAAGGAAATTTTTTCCAAGTGTTTGCTTTAGAAGCAAGATAAATAGAAAAGAAAAAAAGTATTGGGTAGATATGTATATTAGGGACAGAGGGAAATCTCTTCTCCATTTCCGAAAGTAATATTCTTTGTTAATATACATTTTATTTATTCTGAGTTTGTTCTAAATAAACTATTATAAACTCTGGATTTGAAAGAAAATTCCACTGAACTTTAAAGTTCCAATGTATGTATTTGCGATTGTAAATGCCTTTGAGATTATTATGTAGATTTGCAGGACCCAGAAGCTTTTAAAATAATTAAAAGTTTAAAAAGGCGCATATTGTGTTGTTTGGGCTTGCTCTCAGTTAATGCAAACTCTGATTGCAAATGGATGTCATGTTTCGTACCTTTTTTATCAGGAAAAAAGCAGCAAGCCTTCAGGTGTTCCAGTGATGCCTGACACAATGAGCTGGACTTTATGCTGCTCTTTACAGTAAGAGGTGTTGCATTGTATGTGGGGACTGTGTGCACTGGCATCTAAGACAGTGACCTCAACAATGTTAGCTTTGCACAAACCATAGAGAACAATCTTGGATGACTACATAATCAGTTGTAACATTCTGGCAGCTAAATTGTTACAAGAGTTTCTTCTTTCAGAAGCTTACAATATAAAATTTTAATAATTTACTCAAAACAGTGTAACTTCTGACACACACAAAAGCTTACATCTTTATTCATATGTTTACCCACTTTTATTACGTATCTGTCATTTAGCTATTTCTCAAGATGATGTTCAGCAGTTGGCTGCTTAGAAATCCTCTTTTGATCCTAAAAACAGTTGAATTAAATGTTCTATCTTGTAATAATATAAACTGCTGTCAAGGACTTGGTTGCTTGTTGTTTTTGCTATGTCTGTTTGACATCCCCTTTCAGTTTATTTTGATTCCTGATTTTGTTACACATAACCTTCCCTTTCTCCCTTGCCTTTCCTGCATTCATTCTCCTCCTTTCCCCATCCTCCAGCACATCTACTTAGTGGTGCTGTGCTGTGTGTCAGAAGATAAAGCAGGTGTATTATTGTATAATGAATTTTGTATACATGTTAATGAAATGGTGAAATCAACTAAAGGAAGTATGTTCATAACAGTGTTTATTAATATCAGGATCTATGTCCCAGGAAAAAAATCAGGCAAATGGCTATAGTTGTGATGGGATAATATCGTTTAGAAAGCTGAATTTTCTGTTCACGGGAGCAGTATTAGATCTGTATGCTGATGAGCATCTGATTCTACTTCCTTTTCTCTTTGTGAACAGTTTATTGGTGCCATGCTGAAGAGAAAGACATCTAAGTGATAATTCTTTAAAATATAAAATATTTTTACTTCTCTATAATCTAAAGATTACATCGTGCATCTTTTGTAACACTGTCTCTTGTCATGATAAACACTGAAATAGCATGTTAAACAAATGCCTATACTTTAATAATCAGTTGGAGAAAACTGGCCTTTTCCTCCCATTGTATGATTATTCCTTTAAAGGTAAATTGCTAATTTTATATTGTGTAATTTTCTTCCTCACAAAACAGGTTTCACTATTCTATATTAAAACTGTTGGTCAGAAAATAATGTGTTCAAGAAAGTTTGCTTTACTTTTTTCTTTCAAAAAATATTTTAACATGTCTTATTTATTATATTAACATAAGGAGCTAAGACAGATGAAATTTTCATTTTTTGACATATAATCTTGCATAACTAATCTTTAGTATGGGATGATTTTGATACTATCTTTGGAGTTTTGCACTGGATATTAAAAAAAATTCTGGTACATTGTATTGGAAGAAAAGTATTTGCTTAATTTTTAATATTTGGGGACATTTTTAAAATCAGTGTTTCAATTAGACTAAAAAATTCTTTATATTTTTATTTGCTTTTTAAAATAAACATCTGTTAATGTAATATTCATTCCAAACTGATGTTTGTGTGACTCTACATGTATATTTTCATGAAATAAGAATAGGGTTTGAATTGAGGAAAAAATTATCCGGATCCATTTATTAGGTTAAAAGTGATCCATCCAGTCCATCCAGTGTAAGAAAAAAAAAACAACAAAACCTCTTTTATATTCTAAGAAGCTTTAAAAGAACAATTCAGGGGCCATTGATAACTGCTACTCTGTCAGTCATTGTCTCTATATGCAGTAAAACTTTATGATCCCTTTATAGTGAAATATAGAAATTCTCAACAGTTGTTCAAAACTTTTTTTTCTTGGATATGAAATATTTTAATGCTATTAGGTTTCTGTTTTTATTATAGCTTAACTATATCCTATTAAACTCTAGGGTGTATCTAAATCTTTCCTTTGCTTTTTCCTCTCCACTCCCAAGTAGATAATTCTGTACTCTCACATATAATCTATTTAATTTTTGGAAAATTTAATGCTATAGCAAATCAAGTATGTGACTTATAGTAATCAGACCACTTTGATTCTTTAAGTTTCACAATTTCCTTTTTCCACAGATAATTATGGAGAAGATAATTACCAATTAACTGATATAAGCACGCTGTCCTCTGCTGTAAAAAGTCTGAATAGATACTGTGTATGATTTTATGTCCATGAACTTGAGCTACTCGTGTGCAATTATGTGTATGGGAATGGAGTAGTGTTCATGATTTGTATCTACATTATCATATGGATGTATATTTATTAATAAAGTCATTACTTAAAAAACAACTGTGTTTACTACTTTATTTCTTAGCAGAGTATTTTCCAAGTAGGGGAATGGTAAATGATAAATTTTTTTTATAACTCTGGATCTTATATTTTTCTTGGATTGTGCTTTCTGGAATCTGCCCCTCTGTACTTTTTTTGTTTTTCTCAAAATAGTAATATTTATATATTTGTAATTTTAAATCCTAACTTATAAATGGATCTTTTTTTCCCCTTCTTGAATTCCGCCCCTCCCCCCCCCAAATGGATCTTACTTTCTTTGAATTTTCTTGTTATTTCTTGTCTTTTAATAGTAGCCATTCTAACAGGTATTGGAACCACTCTTGAATATAGAGAATTTATTATTTAAGTAAAAAACCATTTTAATTAGTAATTTTCCCAAGCTTTCAACAGGCTTAATAAATTCAACAAACCTTAGTAATTATCGAGCATCTGCTTTATGGCGTGGCAGCTCACATACTGAACAAGGAAGCCGTAGTAGAAGACAAATGCCTTAATATGTAGAACTTAAACAATATAATGCCAGTTTTTTTTTATCCTGAATTGCTTCATCTCTCAAATTAGCTAATTAATTTTAGCACAGAGCCAATGAAACTACAGCCCATCTGCTTAGTCCTAACCTCTGGGCTAGTTTTTAGATAAATTTCACCAGGAAAACTGATGATTGTGCTTATTCTCTATAAGCATAGAAATATCAGGTAAAAGATCATAACTTGTGATGATGCTGGCTTTTAAATCATGTTGGGAACTACTTATGTGGCTGTTGTGCTTCCTCTGTCACATAAAGAAACAACTACATAGTGTTATGTGTCCTTAGTATGCCAGATGCAGAATGGCTGATGACTGAAACTGATAGTTTATTTTTGAGTAACTATAGGATTGTCACAAGAATATGAAAAAAATCTTTTAAGAATTCTGTTTAATTTTTTTTTATTTTGGAAATTTTAAACATATACAAAATTTAATAAATATAAAGTGTAATGACCCTCTATGTGACTGACCATTTTCAAGCTTTAGTAATTAAAAATTCAAGATTTTTTTTGTCTATATCTCCATCTAATTTTTATCCCCCTCAATTATTTTGAAACAAAATTTTCCAAATCATGGCATCCTAAAGTATTTCAATACATATATCTAAAACTAAAGACTTTCTAAAATATAAGCATGATATCACTTACACTTTTTAAAAAAATTTAAATTCGTTTCAAGTATATAGTACATTAGACATCTATATAGTTCATAACTACATTCCCTCTGCCGTGTTCCCCATCCCCATGACCATCTATCAACTACTCATTTGTACTTCTTTAACCCTTCACTGCATTCTCCCAGCCCCACAACCCCTGTCCCCTCTGTCACCAAATTGTCCACTGTATTTGTGAGTCTTTTTGATTAGTTCTTTTTGTTCCTTAGATTCCGCATATAAGTGAAATCGTATGGTATTTATCTTTCTCTGTCTGACTTATTTCACTCAGCATAATAATCTCTAGGTTCATCTATGTCATTGCAAATGGTAGGATTTCATTTTTTTTTTAAAGACTGCATAATATTCTATTGTATATATGAACCGTAATTTCTTTATCCAATTGTCGATGGGTATTTAGGTTGCTTTCATATCTTGGTATTGTAAATTGAGTTGCCATATACATAGGAGTGCATAGATCTTTATAAATCATTGTTTTGGTTTTCTTTGGATAAATATCCAAAAGTCCAATTTCTGAGTCAAAAGGTATATCTATTTTTGATTTTTGAGAAACCTTCA